ACAGCATATTAAGCTATTTTATTCCAAGGCTTAATCTATATAGACAAACAAAACATAAAGTATCTCTTTGGATGATCATACTCATTCACAAAAATAGATCTAAACATATTTGTTGTTTGGGGGTTATTCTTTTTTAAAATCACAAAAACAAACACAATGCTTTCTCTTTATAATATTTCAGATGGGTTGCCCCCATACTCTTCGTTACTTTTCAAAGTCACCTGCTACCATGCTTCTAAAGTAACTTCCAGATTTCAGTGTGAGACTCCATCTGATATTGATCAACTGCATGTTCTGAGATGCTGAGTGAAGGGAAAAAGGATCCTCATTTCCACAGGGCTATTGGGAAGCCAGAGAAACAGCAACTTTCAATAGGAGCAGGGGGTTTCTCAGCTGTGCCAGGGAACATTCCTTAACCCTGAGACAACACAAGTATTTCAACACCACGGTCAACAGCACTCCTAGGCTGTGCCTGGGCCCATTTGGGTACATCTCATACAACTAATATTTCATAAATACAAATATTAGGGGTTTACAGGAGATGTATGCCAGCTCAGAAATAAGGCTGAATTTAAATATTTAGTGGTTAATTAATTTATAAATTATTAACGAGGAAACAAAAAGAATTTTTATTAATCAGTTTAGTTTCCCAACTCTTATTATTATTTTAATGGTCTAAACATTTGAATTAAAACAGCTCTCTTTCATTCATTTCATTATTTCATCTAATACATTTGACTTCTTGTATGACATTAAGTTTGGACAATTACAAAAAGTCCAGATATTTTGAATTACAAGTTGCTACTGACGTAACAACACAGGCAAGTTTTTGTAGGCAAGTTTTTGTTGCATATGGAAGGCTGGAAGCTTAAATCCAAATTAAAAAAAAAAATAATTCAATGAGTTGTGTACATTTACATAAAATGTACAGATCAATCAATATAAATTTAACTATTCTATCTTTGTTTAAAAAATTTAAATAAAAAAAACCCTTACTGAAAACTTGTCTATCCCTACCCTTTTTTCAATACATACTTTTACACAAAAAGCATGAAACATAGCATGCTTTCAGGGAAAAGCAATAAATATCTCCTCCCAACGTACTCTGCATAGCAATCAACATGATGTTCACTGCAGGATGACTGAAGATATTTTTTTTATTCCTAATTTTCCCCAATATAAAGATCTGTCAAAACAGCAAAATTTCACCTAAACTTCTATCCATCGATGCCAATAAAATAATCTTCTGTTGAGAAAGACTGTAAAGTTTTCCCTTTGACTGTGGTTGAATTTCTCGTCCTTCAACAGGCCAGAAAATCACAGAATCTCTTGGGTTGGAAAAGACCTCTGAGATCATCAGGTGCTACTGACCTCCACCTTGTCAACCAGACCATGGCACAGAGTGCCACCTCTGCTCTTCCCTTAAACACCTCTGGGAACAGTGACCCCACTGCCTCCCTGGGCAGCCCTTCCAATATTTAACAGACCTTTAAGCAAAAAAAATTCCCCTAATGTCCAGCCTGATCCTATGTGGGTGCAGCTTGAGACTGTGTCCTCTTGTGCTGTCACTGTTAACCTGGGAGAAGAGACCAGTCCCCACCCAGCTCCAACCCCCTGTCAGCCGGTTCTACAGAACCATAAGGTCTCCCCTGTGCTCCTTTCCTCTCCTTGGTTGCTCC